CTACATTTTCATCATTTTCGCGAAAGCTTCAGAAAAGTGGATGGGGTCCAGATCCGGTTGTTTTGTTGTAATCCGTTTTCCCTTGCAAAAAACACTATAAAATGACATTTCTTGTTCTAATATAATCAAATTTCAAGAATCCCTTGCAAAAAATAAGGTAAAGTGGACATTCGCGCGCGCAAGACGAAATCCTTCCAAAAGCTTAGTGTTCGGAGCGATTTTAACATAAAAACATCAAAAAACCAATGGTTTTTCAACAAAAAAATGTCAAAATCTCATCCCGCGCGCTCTTGCGGATTCGTAGGAAACCCAACACTTTTTAAACATTTCTGTCAAACGGGCTTTTGCGAGCAACTTTTTCGAACTTCTGCGACAACGGTTGCGCACCTGCCAGGGCCATCATCCCTGTCAAATAATACCATGCGGGACACATTCGTTTTTTCTTCGCGCGCGCACGCCGTCGTCGTCGGCCGCGGGGCCCTGAATAGTAGCCACGGTCGTCCGCATGCCACGAAGTGAAGTGTCCGAACGTCATAGGGCGGGAAGCTGGGTGTGGGTGGTGGCGAAGAGTCGTTTGGAAATTTGGTAGAGCTTGAACCGGCCCCCCCACAAAGTGGGGGTATTGCCCGCCTCCTATGAAAACCCTGGCACTGGTGAGAACGGAGTGTCCCCAGTCTTAAATGATTGTTGTTGTTGTTGTTGTTGTTGTTGCGGTTGTTGTTGTTGTTGTTGTTGAATTCACAGTTCTAAATCTGACCTACTGTTTAGCCCCATCCGGCGACCAGTGTATATTTTCAATTAAAGTGCTCGTCCAGGGTCTCGCACCCTGTTGTTTACAAGGGACAGTGAGGCGTCTCCAAACTGAGCCCCCAACCCCCAGGTTACAACAACAACGGCTGCCGCTTTATATTTCCTCACGTTGTATTGAGAAATCACGCTCTCGCGCTGGACTTCCTTTGAATGTATGCAGGAATCGCGCTCTCGCGTGGGACTTCCTCGCATTTTTGACGCCGCGCCCTCGACACTCAGGAATCACGCTCTCGCTGTTGATTTCTCATGATTTGCTTGGGAATCGCGCTATCGCTCGAGACCTCGCTAATGGTCTCAAAAGAGAGCATCTTGACGCCCCAGGGGGGTCTGGGCGGGATCCGAACAGAACCAGACAAAAATGCAGCCCCAGGAATCCTTAGGAATCCTTGGGAATTCTTAGGAATCCATAGGAATCCATTCCCAGAACACCAGTCCCAGGCATAATTTTGAATGCCTGGGGAGCCAACTGTAGGCCACTTCGTGTTCTTCGTGTTCCCAGAACACCATTCCCAGGCCACATTTTGAATGCCCGGAGCCAACCGTAGGCCACTTCGTGTTCTTCGTTTTCCCAGGACACCATTCCTAGGCCACATTTTGAATGCCCGGAGACAACTGTAGGCCACTTCGTGTTCTTCGTGTTCCCAGAACACCACTCCCAGGCCACATTTTGAATGCCCGGAGCCAACTGTAGGCCACTTCGTGTTCTTCGTGTTCCGGAACACCACTCCTGTACAATCTTTTGATTGCCCGGAGCCAATTGTGGGCCACTTCGTGATCTTCGTGTTCTCAGAACACCAGTCCTGTGCCATATTTTGAATGCCCGAGCTGAGGCCGAGGCAGGCTGAGGCCGAGGCAGGCTGAGGCTGAGGCTGAGGCACGCCGAGGCAGGCTGAGGCTGAGGCCGAGGCAGGCTCAGGAGGCTGCAGGCCTGAGGCAGGCTGCAGGCTGAGGCTGAGGCAGGCTGAGGCTGAGGCAGGCTGAGACTGAGGCTGAGGCAGGCTGAGGCTGAGGCTGAGGCTGATGCAGGCTAAGCTGAGAGGCTGACGCTGAGGCTGAGGAGGCTGAGGCTGAGGCTGAGGCCGAGGCAGGCTGAGGCTGAGGCTGAGGCAAGCCGAGGCAGGCTGAGGCTGAGGCTGAAGCTGAGGCAGGCTGAGGCTGAGGCTGTGGCTGAGGCTGAGGCAAGCTGCGGCTGAGGCAGGCTGAGGCTGATGCAGGCTGAGGCTGAGGCAGGCTGAGGCCGATGCAGGCTGAGGCTGAGAGGCTGACGCTGAGGCTGAGGCAGGCTGAGGCTGAGGCTGAGGCCGAGGCAGGCTGAGGCTGAGGCTGAGGCAAGCCGAGGCAGGCTGAGGCAGAGGCTGAAGCTGAGGCAGGCTGAGGCTGAGGCTGAGGCTGTGGCTGAGGCTGAGGCAAGCTGCGGCTGAGGCAGGCTGAGGCTGAGGCTGATGCTGTGGCTGAGGCTGAGGCAAGCTGCGGCTGAGGCAGGCTGAGGCTGAGGCTGAGTCTGATGCAGGCTGAGGCTGAGGCTGAGGCTGAGGCTGAGGCAGGCTGAGGCAGGCTGAGGCTGAGGCTGAGGCCGAGGCAGGCTGAGGCTGAGACTGAGGCAAGCCGAGGCAGGCTGAGGCTGAGGCTGATGCTGAGGCTGATACTGAGGCAGGCTGAGGCTGAGACAGGCTGAGGCTGAGGCTGAGGCAGGCTGAGGCTGAGGCAGGCTGAGGCTGAGGCCGAGGCAGGCGAATCCTTCGGAATCCTTAGGATTCCCTAGGAATCCTTAGGAATCCCTAGGAATCCTTAGGAATCAGGATTCCTAAGGATTCCTTAGGTTTCCTAAGGGTTCCTATGGATTCCTAAGGATGCCTAAGGATGCCTTAGGAATCCCTAGGAATCCTTAGGATTCCATTGGATCCTACGGCCGTTGCCACTGCGACTGTCATTGCAAATGCGACTGCGACTGCGAGAACAGCAGAATTGTACAACTGGATTCTCACCTGAATCTTACGGGGAATGCTTCCAGATATGCTTATACACATCGCTGTTAGGTTGCTTTGCCGGGATACTTGTTTTTCAATTGAAATGCCCCTCCCAGGGCTCGCATCCGGCTTTTACCAGGGAAAATCCTCCTCCTCAAACTGTGCCCCTGGCCCCCGGTTTACAACAACGGCTCCCGCCGAATATTTCCTCGCAGTTCAATCTCGCTATCGCTCGGACTGGGCCCGCCTTCCTGATTTGCACGTGAGGGTCTGCCCGCCCGATCTGCCCGTTTGGTTATGCCACGTGTTTGCACGTGTTCTGCTCGTAGCACCCGTCTTGCTACTCCCTCTCGTGCTCCATGCTCCTCCCTCCCCCTTGTCCCTTCCGTCCATCCATCATCTCTTCCCCTGCCCTAGGGGCTGCACGAAATACACGTTGCAAGTAAGAAATATATACCCCCAAGGGGCGATCGAAGACGAAGAGGGCGGGTATCGAGGGTTTGGGGTATACGAGTAGCAAGCGGGCAGGTAAGAGCGAACACTCTTAAACATGAGTGTTGCTTTGTTATTGTCGTCGTCATCTCTGTTGTTGTTGCTGCTGCTGCTGTTGTTGTGTTTGGTGTTTGCTGTTTGTTGTTTATTATGTGTGGTTCGTTGTTTGTTGTTCGTTGTTAGTTGTTTTTTTGTCGTCGTCCCGTCCGCGACGACCCACCCGCGACCCACCCGCGACCCACCCTCGACCCACTCGCGACCCACCCGAGACCCACCCGCGACCCACCCTGTGACCCGCCCGCCAACCACCCGCGAACCACCCGCGACCCACCGCGCGACCCGCCCGCGACCCACCCGCGACCCACCCGCGAACCTTTCGCGACCCACCCGCGACCCACCCCCAACCCGGCCCCTCACCCTGATCCGCAGTTGCGGGGTGCTGCATATACGTAGCACCCCGCAGTTGCGAATAAGAGTGAGGGGGCGGCGGGGTCGTTGGCAGTCTGCGAAGCTCTGAAGAAGCCCGCGCAGGCGCCGATTTCTTGAAGACATGGCACAACGAGCCCACCGCAGGCGCTGAAAGTTCGTCGCGGCGGGTGGGTCGCGGGTGGCTCGCGGATGGGTCGAGGTGGATCGAGGGTGGGTCACGGGGTGAGTCGGCGCGGGCGGGTCGCGGGTGAGGACGACGACAACAACAATCCGCACCGCGGAATTCAATATCAGCCATGCGCCCAGGGACAGTTAATGACCGTGGACAAGAGTGAGGCGGAGGGCGCGGGGTGGGTCGCGGGTGGGTCGCGGGCAAGCCGCGGGTGGGTCGCGGGGTGGGTCGCGGGAGGCTTGCGGATGGGTCGCGGGTGGGTCTCGCGTGGGTCGCGAATAGATCGCGCGTGGGTTTTGGGTGGTTCGCGCGTTGGTCACGGGTGGGTCGTTGGTGGGTCGCGGGCGGGTCGCGCGATGGGTCGCGGGTGCGTCGCGGGGTGGGTTCCGGGTTGGTCGCGGATTGGTCGCGGATGGGTCGCAGTGTGGGTCGCGGGTGGGTTGCGGGTCGGTCGCGGGGGGGGTCGATGGTGGGTCGCGGGTGGGTTGCGGGTGGGTCGCGAGTGGATCGAGGGTGGGTTGCGGTTGGGTCGCGTGTGGGTCGCCGGCGGGACGACATCAAACAACTTACAACAAATGACAAACAAACAACGAACAACAACCAACACATTACAACAACAACAGCAAAAACAGCAACAACAGCAGCAGCAACAACAACACGAACACAACAACAACAACAACAACAACAACAACAACAACAACAACAGCAACAACAACACCAACAGCAACACCAACAATCCGTACCGCGGAAGCCCATTTCAGCCACGCACCCAGGGACAGACCATTACCGTTATGTTCCCTCACTCTGGTGTCAGTATTTATATGTGTGAGTGTCCAAATATGTACACATATTTGTACGTTGTAGGTAGATGAGAAGTATGGGGGATGGCAGCATGTGTTATGTTAGTTTCGGGGCTTGCTGCCCCGTGGGCCCGTCGACCATCCTGTGCCTCCGCCGACGCTTACGTTTGTGATGTGCGCAGCCGGAATCAATGTGTTGTGTAAATTGCCTCACATACATTGTATTTTGGAAGTCGCACAGTGAGACTCAACACATTTCAGGGTTCTGTGAGAATCATAGTTTTTTGTTTTCTTTCGTTGCTGAGCTTCACGTCCCCTGTGCACGTCCGTAGCCGTTTGGGCTCAAACCATTTCGACTCGAGCCTTTTTGGGCTCGGGCTTTTTGTTGGCCTGCGCTCTGGGAAGGCGGGCCCTTCCCAAGCGCCGCCCGACGGCATACCCTGACCTCGCCGCGTGGTAGGCTTCAGTGGGTGGCACGCAGACGCGGCGCTCGCCGAGGGGGAACATCTGCAGGGCTCACCAGCAGGGGGCCTGCTCGAGAGGCAGGGACTGCCAGCTGCTGCACGCCCTGCCCCTGACGAGGCCGCCGCCAGCAGCGCCCGAGTCCTGCCAGATGGAGCGGGACGCGCTCTGCCTCGAGGGCACGCCCCGGGGCAGCAGCGTGGAGAGCTCCGATTTGTGGACCTCGAGCTCCGGCAGCCGCAGCTGGGCGGACCTGTCCGAGGACCTGTGGTGCGGCAGGGCCGCCCCCTTGGCAGTGCCGCCGGGCCGTGGGCCCGCGCCCGAGGCCCCCGCCGCGCGGCGGGCCGTGGCCCGCGCCTCGGGCGACGAGCTGCCGTCCTTCCAGGACAGGATCGCCGACATCCCCGAGATCGTCCTCGGCGAGGGCGGCGCCGCCCAGCCGCGCGAGCGCGAGGAGTCCTCGCGCTCGATCTCCGAGGACGTCTCGGAGGGCGACGCCCGCAAGGCCAAGTCGGCCCTTCGGCGGAAGTGCCGGCAGAGGAACGAGAGGAGGGCCGAGGCGCTGAATCTCAACAGCGCCACGTCCCTGCCAGTCTTGCAGCCGCACGAGACCCCGCAGCGGCTGCCGCCACCCCAGTACGCGCCGCGGACCGAGTCGGCTTCGCCCCAGAGGCCTCCGGCCCCGCCGCCGACGCCGCGGAGGCTGCGCCACAGGGAGGATCACGACCCTGACGATTCCAGGTACGGCGGCTCTGCCCTCGAGAGCACGAAAGTGTCGTTGTAGCATCAGAGTCGTAGCCCCCCATGACGTATCAGAGGCAGAGGCCCGGAGACGGACGGCATGCAGCTGATGTGGCATCCCAATGTATGTCGGCCAGTTGCGGCGGCCCGCTCTGCCCTCGAAAGCACGAAAGTGCCGTTGTAACATCAGAGTCGTGCGCCCCCTATGACTCATCTGAGGCAGAGGCCCGGAGACAGACGGCATGCAGCTTACAGGCATCCCAGTGTATGTCGGCCAGCTCCCAGTCAGCCCCGCCTCTCCAAGCATTTACGGTCCCCCAATGCGGTCGACCAGCCAGGCGTTGCGGTCCCGAGGTCTGACGGATCACCCTGAGTTTGGCGCCATTCACCCGCTGCCGAGTCAGAGCTTTGATCCATTTTTTCTTGCAGTCTGGACACGTACATCCCTACATGTGGTTGTACTGTTGGTTGTACTGAATTTATGATGTCCACTGTGCCCGTCGACCATTCTGTCCATTCGGCGCCGCTTTCGGTGTCGTATGGTGCTAGACCCTCATATCGCGTCCGTTTAGAAACCGACCACTGGGGAGGAAGAGGCTTCTACATATTCCCGGAACTGTGTAGATCTACAGTTTTTCGTCCCAATTCTACACTTTGCAGATATGTAAAAGCAGTGTCAGTTTTCCCTTCTACAAATTTCAGCTATGGAATTTGCGTTTTGCTTCTCCACATTTCTGCGTGAGGTGTAGAAGCTACGTGCTCTGATGTGTAGAATTGGCCCGCCGAAGACAAAATACACAGATCCACGGATGTGTAGAACCTGATATCTGGTTCTGAATCCCCCCACTAGTTTGAGGGCGTGCAAACAATCGAACCTTCGCTTGTGGTAGTTAATCAGTGCGTCTTCTTGCAACCCGCCTTTGAGAGAGGTGGAGGGAGAGAGACAGAGAGAGAGAGAGAGTGAGAGAGAAACACCAACAAGAGCAGCAACAGCAATAACAGCAACAACACCAACAGCAACACAAACAAAAACCAAACCAGCAACAACAACAAAACCAACAACAATAACAACACCAACAAACGTCTCGACGTATCAGAGGCAGACGCCTCGAGATGGACGGCATGCAGCTTATGTGGCATCCCACTTTGGGTCCGCCTGCGTCCAGTCAGTTCTGCCTCGCCAGGCATTGCGGTCCCGAGTTCTGACGAATCATCCTGTTTTCAGCGGCCTGTATCAGTTGCTGAGTCAGAGATTTCATTTTTTTTTGAAGAGTGGACACGAGGGTGCCCAAACTTGGTCGTATTAGTCATCCCTGCATCTCCAAGCATTGCGGTCCTGAGGTCTGACGGATCACCCTGAGTTTGGCGGCCTTGAGTTGTACTAAATTTGTGATGTCCCTCTATCTGTTGGGTGTTGCGTGTTGGCTCCGTTTGTGCAGTTGTCTTTCTTTTTGTCCTCCTTCCCTGTTTCTCCTGGAACTTGTTGCTGTAATTTCGGCCACGTTCGCAGGACTGCCTCCGTCCACTTCCTGTGCATGTGCGGTGCCGCTGCGCTGGACCTCGTTTTTTCACCGCTGACAGGCATTTGAATAAATTGTGAGAAAATATAAAGCGAAGCGGTCTGGTAGTAAGTTGCGAGGAAGTCCTAAGCGAGAACGCGATTCTGCAATAATTTGCCAGGAAGTATCAGGCGGGAGCCGCGATTCGGTGGTAAATTGCGCGGAAGTCCTAAGCGAGAGCGTGATTCTTCAATACGTCGTGCAAAAATATCAGGCGGGAGCCGTTGTTGTTGTTGTAAACCGGGGGCCAATGACACAGTTAGGCCCTCAAGATTTTTCATAAAAAACCAGGGTGCGAGCCCCGGGAGGGGCACTTCAATTAAAAAATGCAATGTGCACTGGGCGGGGGGGATCAACAAAAACCATTGTTCAGATATGAGAGTTCAACAACACACAAACATCACCAAGCACAACAGCAGCAACAACGACAGCGACAACAACAAGAAATGGGCTAGCACACATGTTATAGTTTTGTACGGCTACCACAAAGAAGATCCTTATGTAAAGCGGCTACAGAATGACTCCTTTGACTCGAGGTTCATATTAATGAGCGTGATTTTTTGGAGATCCGCGCTGATTTCTGGGATCGGCGCTGGACCTGCCTCCCATACCCGCGGAGCGCGACAGGGGCGGGGACGCAGCCAGGGGACTCCGGTGCCACTCCGAGAACCCTACGCGGACCGTCGAACGTTTGTGTTTCTTCCATTGTTCGCTTCCCGATGGCAAGGCTGGAACAGAACAAGCAGCGTGACTCAGGCACTGTGTTGATCAGCGTGCCCCTCCCAGCGTGCCGAGCACGCGATCCCCGCCGCGAGCCGAGGCCGTCCGACATCAGCGAGGAGGAGTTGAAGACGGTGTTCGGCACCTACGGAGAGGTGGCCGTGCCTGGCAGGGCGCTGCCCGAGGCGAGGCCTCCCGAGTGGGGCCCGAGCAGATGGGGTCGGAGGACCGCCTCGCATCGCTGCTGCATCGGCGATGCGGCTCGTGGTGCAGCCCGACTCCTCCGCGCCGACGGCGCCGATGCATCGCTGGCGTCGCCGGTGATGCATCGACGACGCGGTAGGATCCTCCGAGCCCATCTGCCTGGACCCCGGTCGAGGGGCTTCCTTCGAGGGCGGAGGCGGCAGGCTCTGAGCTCGAGGTGTTCGGTCGGTCTCGTCGGTTCCCGGCGGTGCTCCCGCTTCGGGATGCACACCAGCAGCTGCGCCTCGCCGAGAGCGGCTCGGGGGTGCCCAGAGCGTCCCACAGCCGCTGGAGGCCCGAGTCATGGCCCGAGAATCATGCGGAACCAGGGGCGCCCTCGAGGGCGCGAGCCCCCTCGCACCTCGCGCCTCGCGCTTCGGCCCCGATCCCTCCTTCTTCTCCTCCTCCTCCTCCTCCTCCTCCTCCTCCTCCTCCTCCTCCTCATCTCCCCCTGGGGAGGCGGCGCGAGAGCGCGAAGTTGCTCGCACGTCGCGCCTCGCGCCGCGCGAGAACGCGAAGCTCTGAGAGCCCTTGGGCACGGGGAGGGGCTCTCCGCTGGGCGCCTCGCAGCCCCACAGGTCTCCGACGAGCTGCGGGTGCCGCCTCGGAGTCTCGCCAGGACTTGCCGGCCTCGGGGGGGCCTGTTGCCCCGGGCCCCCGCGGGAGCAGCAGAGACGGTGGGCTCGCTTTCCACCACCACCACCACCACCAGGAGTTGGAGGGGGGGGAGGGGAGGAGGAGGAGGAGGAGGAGGAGGAGGAGGAGGAGGAGGAAGAAGACCCCCTCCCGCCAACTTATGGTGGTGGTGGTGGTGGTGGAAAACGCGCCCATCGAAAAACGGATATGAGGCGGAAAATCTGTCCCAGGGAAAGGGTCGAGACCTCCCTGGGGCCGCGGATTGAAAGACTCACATCGGAGGACGGGGGGCGTCGCGCGATCTCGAGTTAAGTCGGGCGTGTTCCTCTACAGGAGGAAGATTAAAAGTGAAACAATCGTCAGGGGACCTTGATTTCTGATGACTGTTGCATCAGTTTTGAATATGTTTGATCTTTCGTCCAAAATCCGCCTGTAGGAGGACACGCCCGACCTAAATCTCGAGGTCGAACACGTCATCCTCGGTCGCATCCTCATTCTCCCCCCTCGCCGCGGACGGGACGGAGGAGGAGGAAAGCCAGAGCAAGCCCATAAGATGCATGGACGATGCTGCAATGCACTCCTTTCTCAAGTTCCCTCCTCAACCCTGCAAGCATTCCTTTTTACTGCGGGAAGTGCTCCCTTGAATGCTGCGTCCGGTGAGCTAGACGGTAAGCGAATAGGTATGATAACAGAGTTAAAGGACGGGCCCAGCGAGAGTTATAATCTTGATTTGAAAAGCAAGTGCCATCCATCTGTATAATTGATGCACAAAGCAGTTCCAAGTGAGATCCCCATTTTGAACAGGAATCACTGGCCGTGAAAGTATTGCACGCGTTCATGGTTCTGGTCACAACCGTGAAGGAAGATCTTGACGCTTCGCGTGTCCCCTCCAGCCCATCCGGACACGACCGGAGGTTTTCTTCAAGCCTCTTGGAGGCTATCTGGAGCCATGTTCGGCTAAAGGCTGTCGAGGCTATCCCAAGCCATGCTCAGCTATCTTGGACCGTCTCGTGGCTATCTGGAGGCCTCTCGGAGGTCTGTCGGAGGCCATCTTGAGCCGTGCTCGACCTTCTGGGACACTCTTGGGGGTTAGGAGGAGGAACAGGAGGAGGGGGAGGAGGAGGAGGAGGAGGAGGAGGAGGAGGAGGAAACGATGGAGGAGGAGGACAAAGAGAGAATGAGGAGGAGGAGGAATGCAGCACGAGTAAGAGGATGATCACGATGATGAGGAGGAGGAGGAAGAGGAGGAGGAGGAGGAGGAGGAGGAGGAGGAGGAGGAGGAGCAGGAGCAGGGGGGGTCTTCAATTTAGGTTCCCCCTCGGGGGCTCAAAAAGGGCTTGGGCCCTCTTGGGCCGCTCTTGGAGCGCTTTTGGGCGCTCTTGGGGCCATCTTGGGGCCCTCTTGGGCCCCTCCTGGGGCTCTCTTGGGCCATCTCGGGGCCATCTGGAGGCCTCTGAGGCCCATCGGAAGCGATAAGGCGAGAAGGCAACACACATTGGTCTTCCATAGGTCTTCGACGGATTTTGGCTTCTTGGAGGGTGCATGGGAAGGCTCGAAGGGCGCTGGAAACCGTGTTGTGGCTGTCTCGAGGCGTCTTCGAGGCATGTCGAAGCCTACCTTCAGCCATCTTCGGTTTTTCTTGAGCCATCTTGGAAGCGATCGTGAGCTCTCGGATGCCCGCTTGGAGCGATCTTGGGCCATCTTGGACGCTCTAACCCCTCCGCCCCCCCCCCCCCTCCAAGACCCAGGGGAGGGGGTAGGGGGAGGGGTCAAGCTACCCACCCGCCCGCAAGCCGTCTAGCTCACTCCCACCCACCCTCCCAGCACATAAGTCGCACCCGAGCCGCAGCATGTCCAGCGGTCGTCTTTGGATGGACAGCTACTGGGAACCAAGGCCGACCCCAGGTGCGCGACGCTTGGGCGAGGTGCGCCACGCTTGTCAGGCGCGCCACGCGCGCTAGGCACCCCTGGGGCCCGAGCGTGCCAGGCACGCCTTGTGCGCCAGATGCGCCACGTGCTTCGCATGCGCCAGGTTTGCCGCACACTCCAGCCGCGCCAGGTGCGCCATGTTCGGGGCACGTGCAGAGTGCGTCAGGTGCGCCTGCACACGTGACAGCACACATCGAGAAACATGTCGGCACCCGCCATCCTTGTCGCAAACCACTGCCAATCGTTGTGCCTAGTGAGCCTGCGCACAGCAGGCCACCTGCCACCACCTCCGCGGTCCTTGTCAAAACCAATTTGACAGTGATCGCGGGATGGCGGCGCACTGTCCAGATTTAGTCGCGAGGTGCATTTTGTATTGTTTTTGATAGGGACGGTGGCCCTGCGCACATCAGGCAACATGCTGACACCCCCGCCGTCACGTTCAAACACAATATAGTTCGCGGGCCTCACGAACATGACTCAATGTTTTGCCCCAAAGTGCACTTTGTATTGCTTTTTGACATGGGTGGTGAAGGGATCCCGGATCACGCATGCTCCAAATGTGGAGGCAGAGTGCGCTTTGTATTGTTGTTTGGCAGGGATGGTGGGGGGCTGCGCATGTTTCCTGGTTGGCCGTCGGTCGCCTGAATATGGAATAGTGATCAAGACACCCTCCCCTCCCGCAAGCCGTCTCGCTCACTCCCACCCACCCTCCCAACACATAAGTAGCACCCGAGCCGCAGCATGTCCAACGGTCGTCTTTGGATGGACAGCTACTGGGAACCACGCCAGACCCCATGTGCGCAACGGTGGGGCGAGGTGCGCCACGCGTGCCAGGCGCGCCACGTGCGCCAGGTTCGCCAGGCACTCCTGGGGTTCAAGCGTACCAGGCACGCCTGGTACGACAGATGTGCCACGTGATCCACGTGATCCACATGTGCCACGTGTGCCGCCTGCGCACGTGGCGGTACACATCTGAAAACGTGTCGGCCCCCACGCCCTTGTCGAAAGCCAGAGCGCAGTCGCAGCGGGGTGGCCATCATAGTGTCTGGTGGGCCTGCACACAGCAGGCAATCTGCCAGCACCCCCGCCGTCCCAGTCCCAAACCAGTGCACGGTGATCGCGGTGTGCCCGCGCATGATTCAGATTTTGCCTCGAAGTGCGTGTTGTGTGGTTTTCGCGTCAGGGACTGGGCCTGCGCGCAGCAGGCAACATGCGGGCACCTCCGCCGTCCCTGCCAAAGAACAATGCAAAGTGCTCGCACCCCCCCAGTCCATGACCCAAGATTTTGTCTCAAGTTTGACTTCACATTGTTTTCTGACAGTGATGGTGTGTGTGAGGGTCCTCATTGGTCCTTGTTGGTTGCTGGTCGCCTGGGGGAGGGGGTGCTTGGAGGACATTGAGAACCCATCCCGCCAGTAGGGGAAGGAGGGTTGCCGGAAGCGAGAATGCAAGAGTTCGTTAAACCATCTACGCCCAGAGGGCTGCTGGGATTTTGAGCGCAAGCGCCAGTTTGAACAAGAATTGTCCTTCACCACGGTACTTCCTTGGCACTTTGAAGGCGAGTGTGCGCGATGCTGAGGTGATAGACACATGTTGGGCCGCCCCCCATCTTGAACAACTCAGATGCGACGAGTGTGCGCGGGCCGCGGCGAGAGCCACATGAAAACACGGCCACCATAGTTTATCCTCTGTCTCCTCTTTCCTCCCTTTGCTCCCTTCCTCGTCGTCGCCATCAGTTTAAGCTCCATCCTCCGTCTGCGCTTGTCCTCTCTTTTCCTCCTCCTTCTCCTCCTCCCCTTCCCGCTTGCATAGCCATAGGGCCTCCCGCCTGTGCCGCTGGTTTGTGGTCCACGAGGCCGATGCTGCCAGGGTTGACTGGCCGGCCGTCGTCTCGCTGATGCATCGGATTCCGCCATCCTGGCGAAGTGTTTGCATCAGAACCTGGGGAGGGGGTTGGATCACTAAGTTGAGGATGCGTGACCCGTACATGGGCTGCGTGTGGGGGTGTCCTGGGGAGCGCGATTCCTTGAAGCATTACGTTTGTCGCTGCCCGCCTGTGTATATGCTTGCCCGTAGGCAGTTAAAGTCTGATTTTCCTGCTCCCCCTTTTATGGACCCCTTCCTCGCTCTGGGTCTGATCCACCCCCCAACCCGAAACCTTTACATACGTAGCGTTGCATTTCAACTTGTACCGTGTGGCCCACCAAGGGAGTAAGGCCCATTCGATCCTCTTCTGTTCGGCGGACTCGAGCTCGTTGGCTCGTGCTGCTCTGCAGGCCGTCGAATTGCCCCTCGGCGGCTCTCGTCGATGGCGGCAGCGG